GCGCAGAGGGAGGAGGACAGAGGGCTCAGGGCCATCAGGGTGCTGGAGAGGCTTCAGCCCCTGGCCCTAAGGGCATCAGGAAACCCATTTCAGGAGACTCCAGGCCCTGCTCCACCAACGCGGAACCAAACAGAATGTGCAGCCAAGAAGCACAGGTGCACGTGAGGAGACCAGGACTCAAAACACGTGTTCCCTCGCTGAGGGAAACCCTCCAGCCCGGGGTCAGCCCAGTTCAGTCCTGGGGGAGTGGGCCCATGGGAGGCCCAGGACTAAGGTCAGCTCAGCTCAGTCCTGGGGAGTGGGCCCATAGGGGGTCCAGGTCCAAGGTCAGCTTAGCTCAGTCCTGGGGAGAACGGTCCCATCTGGGCCTAGGACCGAGATCAGCTCAGCTCAGTCCTGGGGAGAGTGGGCCCATGGGGGCCAGGCCCAAGTTCAGCTCAGCTCAGTCCTGGGGGATAGGAGCCCACGGGGGGCCAGGCCCCAGGAGGCAGCTCCATGAGGACTGAGAGATGGCATCGCCCCAGCCCGTAGAGAGCACAGGGCCAGGGCAGGCAGGCTCCACTGCAATTCCAGTGCCTCCACGTGTCCCCAAGGAGCTGCCCACCCCCCACAACTGGTTTGTAGACTAAGAAACTGAGGCTGAGAGAGGTTGAAAACCCTGCCCAGGACACCAGAGGAGGCCTCGGCAGCTGCCCCAGCAAATATTGGGCACCTCCTGCGTGTACTTCCTAGCAGGCCAGGGTGAGTGCTCACTGCCCTCCGGGGCTGGCAGGGCCCGTGCTGGGGTTTTGGAAGGTGCTGGGGTAGGGGGTAGGGTAGGGATGGGGGGCACATGCTACCACTGGGAGGGCTGGTGGGACCTGGGGCCGTGTAGACCAGCCCCTCCTCCTGACCGTGAGTTCAGGAAGGTCTGGGCCCCGTGGGGAGGGCCAGTGACAGGACGTCCACCAGTCACGAGCTTTGTTTACGTGCCACCCCCTCCACCAGTGATCACTTCCTGCTGCGGGGCCACCATCTATGCCTCTGGTGGGTCTGTCCTCCCTTTCTGTGGGTATCGATTTCTGTGTTCCCCACAGAGCCTGGAATGAATACCTGGCATTTGGTTGTTTGGGCAAAAACAGCATCAATGTAGTCTGTGGGGCGTCCAGGCCACGGAGAGTCCTGTTCCCAGGGGGAGCCTGGACCACAGGCCTGGCCCCTGACTGCTCGGTCCCGGAGCAGGAGGAGGCAGGACCTGCCCTGCATGGGGCGGAGGGTCGTGTGGTCTGAATGTGGCAAGAGGAAGTGGATTGGGGTCTCGCTTGAGAGTCTGCAGGAGGAGTCACCCTCCAAGTGGAAGGAAGTGGGCGTTGGGCTGGGGCTTGCTGCACGGGAAGCTGACAGGCCTGGGTTGTGCCCAGCTCTTAGTGAGACCCAGGAAGGTGACTTGATGACTCTCCTCAGTTTTCTCATCTGTACAATGGGAGGCTGTGGGCTCAGGACTCCCCAACCCACTGCCTGCAGGCATCATCCAGGCTCTGACAGCCCCGCCCACCTCAGAGGCAACAGCTAGGTGCCCTGAGGCCAGAGCCCCGGCCTGGAGCTCTGTGCCCACTGAAGGGGCAGAGACAGGACTGGAACCCAGGACTGCAACTTCTGGTGCCCAGGGTCCTGAGCTGTCCCCTCAGTCCAAGGGTTTATACCCCCGATAATGTCCATTCTATCATGTGACTTCCACCCAGACCCCGTGAGCTCCAGCCACAGGCAGAGTTTGCACTGGGGCCCCAGCCAGTCCGCCCGCCCCATTCACCCTCTCTACTCCACCCAACAGGAAAGGAGTCAGAACAGGGTGACGACACAAGTCCCAACGCACAAGACTGAGGGAGGGGTCCAACCCCTGAGATGCCCACCGGCCAGACACCCACACGCCTACCTGCTCTGGGCACAGCCACATCAGCCCTTGTTGGGGGGCAGAAAGTTCAGGGCCTGTTCCCTTACCAGGCCGTGCAGGCTCGGTTAAGGGGTGACACCTGAGCCTCAGTTTACCCTCTGTGCAAAGGCTGCCCCTTGTCCTTGCCCATGTGGGTCTGTGGGAGGAAGACTCCGACCAAGCCGGGCTTTAGAATCTGCCTGCTGCTGACTCATGGCACCCCAGACTTCCCCAGGGACACCCCATTTTCTGCCACCTCTCCAATGAATAAATGTGCTGGAAGGCTAACCGGCAAAAAAAAAAAAAACAAACAAACCACAGCTGGACACAGGTTCAAGGGCACAAGTGGGCATGAGACCAGGGGGACCTTGGGAAGCCAGGGCTGGACAAGCATGGCCCTGGCCACCTCAGCAAGCCGGCAGCCAATGGCAGCCTCGGCTGAAGGACAGCAGCCACGGGGGGCCAAGCTGGTCTGGGCAGCAACAGAGGAGGTGTCCGCTCCCTGCTCCCCTGCCCCCACTCCCGCCTGCGCACCCCCAGCCCGCACACCTCCCGGCCGAGGCCCGCGCGCCACTCCATCCTGCGTCTGCCCACCTGCTTCACTATTGTTTACCGAAGAGTTTTCTTCAAATGGATTTTTTTTTTTTACTTAAGTGATTATATTTTGAAAGGAAATCTTACAGCACCACTGGAAATGGAAAACAAGCATTGAAGGAGGCAAATAGAAGGTATCCGTCCAAACAATGAAAACAAAACATGTTATAAAATCCCACGAGGCCCCGGACCTGCAGAGGCTGGAACCCTCCCCGGCAGCGTCGGCTCCTCACGGAGCTGGGAGCGGCCCTGGTCCCAGCCACTCCTCAGTTACAAACCGGGTCCTGCCCTGGCTTCCCAAGGTCCCCCTGGTCTCATGCCCACTTGTGCCCTTGAACCTGTGTCCACCTGCAGGGAGAGCCCCCCCACCGAGGGTCAATGCAGCACTAAGAGGGCGTCTCCCGGGAGCACTGTCTGGTGGGGACGTGAAATGACAGAATCTCAACCCCAGTTCAGAGGTGACGTCTGGGAACAGGGACTCGCACCTCCTTCTGGTTGTCCCAGGCAGCGTCGGTGTCGTCCCAGTTCCCTGCACAGGGCCCCGGGGTAGAGCAGTAAGACAGCAGCCCTGCCTGGCGACAGCCACAGGCAGGCTACCCCCGTCGGTTAGACTCCCCTATAGCTCACCTGCTCAAGGCACTGAGAAGTCCTGCAGGGAACCTCTCCACTTTGTTTCATACAGGGTTTTCCGGGGGGGACCCTTCCCCCACCTGGCTCTACCCTGGGTCTGGAGAGGTCTTTGGGGTGGACAGATAGACAGACAGCTCTCCTGGACAGATCACATTTGTCCCTGGTGAGTGCGCTTAGGAATCCCGCTTCCCACCAACAGTGAAATGACTCCCACCCAGATGGTATATTCTGCTCTCCCGACTGTGTCCAGCAAAGCCACGGACACACAGGGCTGCCGTGGCTCATGGATCCAGGCCAGGCACCCCAGCCTAAGTGAAACCAGACACAGCCAGGAGTCCCAAGGGCCACTCTAGTGGATCATGGGTGGCCCCACAGCTCAACGCCAGCATCTCCTCCCTAAGCCCTCGCCCACCCATAAAGCCTCCTGTGGCCATGGTGGCAGCTCCCTCCCATAATGCCAGCAGGGGACAGAAGGCCGCATCCCTGTTGGGGGTGGGGTGGCCATGGGGGCTGTGGAGACCTGTCACAGAGGAGAACAAGACTCAGTCCAATGCGACTTAGTCACTGGCTCTGACATTCGCAGTTGGCATCTGCCGTGACGGCGCCGGGTGGCGGGGGGCCAGGACGAGGACGTGCGTGTTCCAGCAGGCAGTTAGCTCGCCTCCAAACTAGCCCCCCGAGCCCCGTGACAAGCACTCACGGATAGGCGTCTGGGGCAGCCTGGCTGGTGGCTGGGATGGAACCTCAGCCTCTTCTGCCAACACCCACCCCTGCCAAACCAGGGAGGCCGGGGGATGACTTGGCCAGGCCGGGCATGGCAAAGGGCTCCCTCCTCGACACCCTAGACGGCGCCTAGGGGCCCCACACATACCATGGGCTCAAAGCCCCCTTTTCCTGGGCACACTCACAGGTCGGGCCCTGAGGACAGCCTCACATGTTCGCTCAGAGGGTGCCCGGAGGTTCCCGCCAGCGTGGCACTGCCAGCCCCCCACAAACAAGGACATGAGGCAGAGGCTGGACTTGAACCCGGGGCCCTACCCCGCACACTCAAGGCCTGAAGGCCTCCTTCTGTGACACCTGATGAGGCCACCTGGCAGGTGCCACAGGAGACGTGTGGGGTGAAGGCCCAAAGGCTGGTCGGGCTGGCACAGGCACCGGCAGGGCTGGGTCTCTGGTGGGCCTGGCCTGGTGGGAGAGGCACTGACAGCAGCGAAGCTTTCTCTTCCCAGGGGTGGCGCTGGCCATGCTGTGCGCTGCCGCCAGGAACAGACCCTCAGAGGCAGCAGGTGTGTCCCAGGGCCTCCTCTGCGGGCTCGCTGATGACGCGCAGCTGTGGGCACACAGGTGCCATGAGCCCATTTCCGGGGAGTCTCTGGGCGCAGCGCTCGAGGTCATGTTCACGGAAAAGCAGGGCCCAGACTCAAATGCAGCCGGGCATCGGGGGTTTGTGGGGCCGACCCAGCGAGACGGAAGGGAAGTCCATGGCAAGAGGGGCAGGCCGGGGGGCGAACTTTCTAGTTTCTCTATCATTTTCAGAATCATTATGTTTTAATTTCCACCAAAAAGAAAAAGTGCCTTCTTGCTCTGACCGGTTTGGCTCAGTGGATAGAGCGTCGGCCTGCGGAGTG